TGTGTGTGTGTGTGTTGGGGGTGGGGTGGGGAGTGCTGGTGGTGCTGCACGGAGGCAGCGTTTTCCCTTGCCCACGCTCCACCTTGCCGCTCGGAGCGGCTCTCCATAGGATGGGGAGTGCCCTGGCTTTCCAGTCGGCGCGGAAAACGCACCTTTCCCCCCTGAATTTAGCGATAAAACCCACTTTTTTCCATAAAATATTTTGCTTTTGTAGCATGTAGGTGCCACAGGTGGCACCGTGCCTTGGCAGCCTTTCCTTCTCAGAATCCCAGAATATGCAGGGTTGGAAGGGACCCACAAGGACCATCCAGTTCAACCCTTAGCCCTGCACAGGACCATCCCCAAGAGTCACACCATGTGCCTGAGAGGATCATCCCAACCCTCCTGCAGCTCTGGCAGCCTCGGGGCTGTGCCCACTGCCCTGGGGAGCCTGGGCAGTGCCAACCACCCTCTGGGGGAAGAACCTTCTGCCGAGATCCACCCTGAGCCTGCCCTGGCACAACTTCAGGCCATTCCCTCAGGTCTTCTCACTTGTCTCCACAAAGGAGAGATCAGTGCTTGCCCCTCATCTTCCCCTGGCTCCATACAAGAGCCCTGGTCATTCCCTGGAGTCCCCTCTCTTTCCAGTTCCTCCACAGAGAAGTGTGAGGGGCTGCTCCTTCACCTGCCTGGTTGTTTATTCCCACCTGGGTGTTGCTTTGAGGGATGAACCCACTGACTTCAGGCTTTTTCTGCTGCAGCTCAGCCCATCACCCTGTCGTGGGAATGTAAGGTAATTAAGGCACGATTATTTATCTAACAATATTTAACCAAAACGACTCAAATCTGATGGGGATTAGCCCAGACTTGGCACGGCCGTGACAGGACAGCAAAGCAAAGAATCCTTTTGAGATCCTGCTTGTGCAATCCTTCACTGCCAGCGATGAGTTAGAGGTGTCTCCTCTGCTCCTAACAAGCTCCTGTCATGCCACGTGCTGATGTGGTTTTATTGATATATTTTAAAGGCATGATTCTAAAAGCAGAGCACTTTTTGCTGCTCACAGCGAGGTTCAACACAAGTGGTCAAGGCTCAGAGTTGCACAGATCCCTGATAAAAACAAAGATAAAATAATAGCTTCTCTTTAATTATAACCCTCCCCCCAAATTTTAAATACTTTTACCTACACCAGATCCTTGATATTTTTCAGAGAAAATCATGGAATTCTAATATAGTATTCTGCTCTGATTTATTTTACTGTGCATATATGTATATATAACATGCAAATGCATTGGGGAGACTATGTAGATCTAAAGAAATGTGCACAGCCAAAAAAAGTTCCTGCTCTCCAATTTCCAATCCTTTTATCTCCAAGGAAAATATTGTCCCGGGATGCTGCAAGGCTTCCAGTGGTGGCTTCGCTCCAAAGGCTTTTGGGTCTTCTCAGGTGTTAAGGGCAGCACTGGGGACCTGTACGAGGGAAAGGGGATCCCAAGTGAAAGGAAATATCCTAAGGCAGGAGGTGAAAAACCTTAACCTTTGGTATCTGACTTGTAGGGGGTTGTTTTCAGGGCTATCTTTGCGTGGGACGTGTCATTATCTAAGCAGGGGGTGGAGGGGAGGCAAGGGGAGGGGATTTTGTTTCTCAGCGATGTCGTTAGGGCAGCTGGGACGAAACTGCCCTGGAGAACAGCAAATAAACTTCTGAGTATTAAATCTCCTTCCCCATGTTTAAATTGGATGTGGGTCCTGTTCCGAAAAGGGAGGGAAATAAAAACCAGAGGGAGCTCCGGCACATCTACGAGAGAGAAGCCTGGCGTTGGCAATTCCTCGGTGCTGTCCGAACTGAAGTGACCTCCCAGGGAGCCACTTGTGTGCTCAGTGGTGATGAATCCCAGAGCCTGGGGGCAGCGCTCCCTGCATCCCAGAGCCTGGGGGCAGCGCTCCGTGCCTGCGTGCACGCATCCCAGAAATTCGGGATGTGCGCTCCGCCTTGATGTGGCTGCCAGGGGATGTCGGAGATGACTTTTTGGTTTTCCCCTGGGCAGGACCTGGAGCGGAGCCCAACAGATAAGGTCGGCCACCCCTGGCAGCTCTGCTGTGTAGCAGTGTGCGAGGACACAGGACAATGCCCGTGGCTCGCTCGCTCGCTTGCCTAAAATAGGCTTTCACAGCCTGTTTTGTCCGGCAAGGAGGGCCCCAAAAATAGAAGTGGAGATCTTACGTGGCCCTGAACTCCTGTTTCTATTCCAGTGTGTTTAATCCTGACACCCAGGTGTGAAATGCACTTATCCCTCCTGTCAGTGAGACATAACTGATGTGGTTGATGGGTGGTTTCTAGGCTGAATCCGTGGTTTTCTGTATCCATTTTGTCTCCGTGAAGGGCTTCTCTGTGGAGCTGCAAGGGTGTCAAGGGTGTGAAATCTTTTTACCCCCCTCTAGTGACGGTGCCAGAGGAGGAGAAGACGGGTGGAAAGCTGGTGGTGGTTGGTCTTGAGCTTTGGCCAGGCTGTCCGTCGATGGATATGACGTGAGCAACCTCACGGTGGGTTTGATCCCACATTGCCCTGCAGTAAAAAAAGGGGTATTTAATATAAGCCAGGCAGAAGAACACCCATTTCTCATGTTCCAGTGGATTTGCTGCTACCCCTGAGTAATGTTTTAGCACTCCAGTGGCTGTTTAAGATACCGGCCCAGAACTGGGATGGCCATATCCATCTATCCATCTCCCATCCCGGATTAAATCTGAGCGGAGTGTCGCTTGGATGAATGATGGATGAGGCTCTGGACCTTCCAAAGCATCACCTCCCTACCCTGAGCGGCTTTTTTTGAGGAGTTGGAAAGTTCCCGGTCCAACAGATGTAATTAGATGTTTTGGCTTTTGTTGATAAGGGCAGCAGCTCGGTGCTCATTCCAGCTGAGCACCTGAGAGAGCTGTCAGCAAAGACTGATTTACAGCCCTTGTAAATACACCTTGAAGCTGATAAGAGGAACCAGGAGTTGCCTGATAAAGGGACAACATGAATTTCTGCAGCATTTCCGTGCCTCCACGAGGACAGGCTGCAGATCTCCCTAAATTTACCACATGCTTGCTGCTGTTGGGGGTTGTGGGTGGTTTTTTTGGCCTCTCCCAGAACTATTTCTTTGCAAAAGCAGATAAACCACAACATGCTTTCCTCCTCGATGAATATTTATGGCCCCCAAATCTCCCCCTGCCTACTTGTGCATGTGTAATTAGGCTGCGAGTTGAGTAAGTGAGCGTTGGAGAACTACAACTGTAAGAGCCTGGGGAAAAAGGCTTGATGTTTCTGGTTTATTTGGGTGCTTGCTTTTTAATAATGAATTGCACTTTTCGAGATGAAACAGCTTGTGTTTTTCCGAAAGACGCGTCAAAAAAGCAGTAATTGGGACTGTTGCACCAGCAGACTTGTCTAGTTTAAGGGATGCTTTTAATCACGTGTACAGCTTCCAAGTGAACTTGGGGAGAAGCTGGGTGATGTAACCAAAGCCCCTGAACCCATCTTACTTTGTTTAGGGCGAGATGAAGGCGATCCTTTCTCTTTTCTGCTGTGGTCAGCTCTGTTCCCAGTTCGAGTCGGCCCTTTTAACCCCGTCAGACTTGAATTTCTGTTTGATCGAGGGTGATTTTGGTTAAAGCAGCTTTTTGTGTGCGAAAAATAATTGATTTTTTTTTTTTTTTGGAGTTCTGGTGTTTTCATGGGAGTTGCATCCTCAGCTTATTTTTTGCAGAGGAGCGGGGCTGGTCCTGAAGGAATGTGGGACATGGGATTGCAGCATTTCTCACAGGATTTGGAAGTCCAGCTCTGGAAAGGAAGCAAAAGTGCCATCTGAAGAGCTGTAACTGTGTTATCTCTCTGTACTTTTCCACAGCTTGGCCTCTGGAAAAGTTTTGGTCTTCGCTGGGATTTTTCCATGCTGCTCTTACTGCTCATTTGAATTAAAACTGTTCATGTGTTTCGTGAATAATTTTGGTAGCAGCTCAGTCTTAGGGATTTTTTTTGGAGAGCGTAAAGAGGGAGAATTTAAGAAGGATGCCAAGCTGGAAGAGTTCAAGGCCAGGTTGGATGGGGATTGGAGCAACCTGGTCTAGTGGAAGCTGATCGAGGTGGTCTTTAAGGTCCCTTCCAACACAAACAATTCCATGTTTTCACGCACAGGCAGTGCCTGTGGTGATGCTGCAGAGAAGCTGCTTTGGAGGCAAAGAGTTTGGAATGGGCTTGTGGCAAGTACAGCTGGGTTTTGGTTGGTTTTGTAGCTTATACCCCCCAAAAAATGCCTCACAGATACTCTAAGAAAATGTGAGTGTTGGCACTTGGGAGCTGGAACCGGGAATTTCCCGGGTTCCCCCATCCCTGGATCTCGGCTGCCTATTAAGTGGCATTTATAGTCTGTAAAGATCAGTTTTCTTTCCCAAGGGCTGTTTCTTTCCCCTTGGATTTATGGAGGCAGCGTGGTAAGTTGACAGGATGTTGATGTGCTCCTCTTGGAGTGTGATCCCTCAGCCCCCTCCCTTGGAAGTGCCTGGGTGTTGTTGTTGACTCCTTAACGAGGACGAGAAGGGTTTCCAAACGAGGGTGACTCATGCAATCTTAGCCTCAATCTATCAAACAGCGAGGCATTGGATTAAATGATTACTTAAAAAGATTAGGAGTTTTAGATTTTGGGGGAGGCAGGAGAGGAGGAAAGAGTAAAAATACATAGGGAAGCTGAATTTAAAAAAAAAAAAAAAAAAAAAAAAGGCCAAAAACACAGCCAAAAAAAGCTGCGAGACACAATCCCCAGCTGATCAGATAATGCCAGTTCTGGGCTCGGTTCACGCTTCCAAAATGGGAGATGTTGTAGAAACTGAAGCTCTGCTTTTCCCTAGAGATCACCCTCTGCCAAGAGAGTGATGCTTCACCTCGTCCTGAGCCTGCTGCTCACCTCCTGCTGCCTCTCAGGTACCTGTGACAGCAACACTGTTCTGATTGGCTTGTCTTTTTTTTTTTTCCCCTCTTTCCAGCTGAAAGTGAAAGTGCTGGCTGCGTGTTACTGCACACATCGAGGAAGGTAAGGAGTAGGAATGCTGTGTGTTCAAATTGTTGTGGGTTTTTTTCATTATCATATTCAGAATTACAGAAAAGGGTCTTGGAACAACCCTGCAGGGCTCTTTGTCACTGGCCTGAGCAAGACATAAGTAATTCCTCCCTTAACTTCTCTCCTGTAATTCCTCTGCCTCTTAAAACCTGAAAAGTGCTGCTTGTTCTCTGAACAATTTCCCCCTAATTCTGATCTTTCCACTGCTTTTTGTCCCAGACAATTCCCTGACATGTTCATTTATCACTCTCCCCCCTGCAGTGCCTGCAGTGGGATCCAAGAGGACGAGGTTCAGGCTGCTGAGCTCCTCTGGAGCTGAAAGCAGAGACTCCAAATAGACATTGCTGGGATTTGGTTTCCTGATTGTTCCAGCTATTCAGGTCTGCCTTCAGGAGCTTCAGCAGGAGTGAAATCCCTGGAAACAAGCAGGCTGGGAGGGTGATTAGGGTTTACACTTGCTCTTGAGACTCTTATCTCAATAAGGTCAAAGTGCAAAAACCCCTCCCAGGGGCTGTCACTGCAAACCTGCTGCTAGGGGAGTGCACAGGGAGGAGTTGGGCTGATATTTTGGTGTCTCCCCTGTGAGGGTGGGCAGGCCCTGGCACAGGTTGGGCAGAGGAGCTGTGGCTGCCCCTGGATCCCTGGAAGTGTCCAAGGCCAGGTTGGAGCACCCTGGGCTGGTGGAAGGTGTCCCTGCCCATGACAAGGGGTGGAACTGGAGGATCTTTAAGTCCCTTCCAACCCAACCCCTTCTGTGATTCTGTATTTAACACCACCCAAAGTTTTGTCTTTAGGCTCGTGAGGCTCATGGTGCTTTAAGCTGTCTTGACTCTGCTCCTTGGAGGGACTGACTGTGTGTATGGAAACTTGGATCACTGATCCTGGTAAATCACAGAATCATTTACGTTGGAAAAGCCCTTTAAAATCACCAAGTTCAACTCCACTGCCAAACCCCCCACCTAAACCATGTCCCCAGGTACCACTTGGCTTCTGAATCCCTCCAGGGCTTGGTGGCCCCACACAGCCCTAGGCAGCCTCTTCCAGTGCCTGAGATCATGGATTGCCCTGGAGGTTTTAATCTGTGCCCCAAAGCCTTGGGGGCTTTTTAGGGAATCCCAGAGAACCCTGTAATTCTGCTTTCCTTTAGGCCTCTAAGGCAGCTCCAATCCTGCAAAGATATTCCAAGAGGCTGAACTGGGTAGTGGGAGGAAAACGTGTGATAGCTTTAGAAACCTTTCTCCCGAGTTAAAAATACCCAAAGCAAACAGAAACCAAAGAGAAAACACTACCCAAAAAAAACCCCACCACTACCCAAAAAAACCCCACATTAAATATTGTTTGATGCAGAATCAGGGAAGTTAAACTGAGCTATTCCATGCTCAGGAATGGAAATGTCTTGATCAATAATTTGTCTTGTCTAAAACTGGTGCCAAGGTTTTCAGTTGTATCCACTTGACTGAAAGTAACCTAAGAACTTAATCACTTAAAGTGCAAATTCTAAGCCCAAAAGCAGGATCTGCCTCTGATAAGGAATAGTTGGGAACTGCCAGCGCTTAAGTGTCTCTTCTATTTTGTTTTTCCTTCTCAGGGCTGTAGGATTCCTGCTTTTTCTGGCCTGTGGTTCATGCTTGAGCATTTTAACTTGCTGTTGAGCCACAAATACCAGAGGGCTTTAGCGGGGCTTGAGAAGAGATACCACTGCCAGATTTTGCCTCCAGGGAGGATGAGTGGAAATTTTGTGCTTCAGATGCAAAGGAAATTGAGACCTGACTCATGGAGGAGATGCCTCCAAGTGTCTGGGAAGGGGGGAATCACCAGCAGAGAAGTGGTTGGGACAGCAGCTTTATCTGGAGGTGTTTTCCCTGTCTCTGGTGGGTTCCTGTGGTTCTTGGGTCGTTTCAGAACTGCTGGAAGGTCAATCTGGGCAAGTTGCTCTCTCTGGACAAGTTGGCATGAATAAGGAGAAGCTCCTTGGCATGGTTTGAACTATTTAATCACTGACATGGTGTGTTTTTGAAGGAATCAGCCCAAGGGACCGTGGCAGCAGTAGGTGTTTGCTCAGGAGAAAGTGCTTTTTGGACACCCCTTCTCGTGAGGTTATGGCAGTGGCTGTAAGTGGAGGTGTTCTCCAGGGCAGCCAGACAAGAGAGTTCTTGCCTTCTGGCCCTTGTTGATGACTTGGAGTGTGCAGCTTAGGCCAGGAGGCCTGCCTGAAGTCAGGGAAGGCTGTTCCAGTGTCTTCCCCTTCTTGGAACAAGAGCCTCTGTTCCTGCCACGGTGCAGCTTTGCAATCAAGGCTACCTGATGTCATTAAACTGGACACTGGGTAGCTGGCTTGGGTTTCTTGCTGAGCAGTTTCCAGCATCGAGTTTCCAGCATCAAATATCCTGGTGTGACTTGACTATCCGGCTAAAAAATGTTAGTGAAGGAGCAATCATTAATCTCTCCTGAAACCAGCGGGTGTCCTGACTGCAACAGTTCTGTCTGAGCTGCTGCAGAGGCTTTGCTGTGCCACTGCTTCCTCTAATTTGATTTTGGGGTGTCTCAGGGAGTGATGGATTTCTGTCCTTTCACGCTGGCTACTCGCCTTGTGATGTTTATTTTGTAAACCTCTCCTGAAGCTGAAAGAGGGAAGGTTTAGGTTGGATGTTAGGAAGGGGTTCTTGGCTGAGGGAGTGGGGCCCTGGCACAGGTTGGGCAGAGAAGCTGTGGCTGCCCCTGGATCCCTGGAAGTGTCCAAGGCCAGGTTGGAGAGGGCTTGAACCGACCTGGGCTAGTGGAAGGTGTCCCTGCCCGTGGCAGGGGGTGGAACTGGATGATCTTTAAGGGTAATAAGGAGGGATAGTGCCCATATTTCCTATGAGGACCAGGAGCAGGGGAACCAAATAGGACTGAGGCATGGAAAATTGCTTTCCCAAGGCGCTGCCTGAAGCCCGTGGCAGAGCTGGAGCTGCGTCCTTATGACTTGCAGAAAGCTACTGATGGTGCTGTCGTGCACAGCTCGCTGCAGGATCAGTGTTGATGGAGACGATGTGGGCAGATAACCCACGTGAATGCCTTTGATTAATTCTTCCTGTCCCTCAGCTTTCTCCTTCCACTCTTTACTCCTAATGCCCTCAGCCTTCCTCGTACCTCCATGGGTGTGCCCCTTCCATCCTGACCGGGTCATTTGGCCCAGGAATTGCCCCCCTGGGTTGGGCTCTGCCCAGAGAGGCTGAAACAAGTTGTTTTTGGGAGGTGCTTGCCGGTCCTGTGGTGCCCCCGTGAACACCTGTGTCGCAGAGGTGGGAGATGGGTGTTTTAATCAGCTCTCTTGCCGTGATAATTTGAGGCAGACTCGCTGCTTGCACCTCTTCGGTGGAGTTGTAGCTGTGTCACTGTCTCCTCTCCGAGCAGATGGTTACAGAGCCTGGGGGGGGGTGGGGAGCTGAAATCCTTCAGAGAATCCTCCCTCTCAAATGCTGTGTAAGGAGTGATTGATGCAAAGTAAAACAGTGCTAATTGCGATGGATGTGTACTGACAACTTGATAGTTGCTGTGATAATTACAGTAATTAGGAAGATGGCAGCGTTTTTTTTTTTTTCTTCCCTGTGTCTAGGCTATAAATGGAAAAGGTAGGGAGAGTGTGCATGGAAGGAGGGGATCCATGGCATGGCCCTGTACCCTGGGGGACAAAGTGCCACGGTTCTGGCTGGGAAGGCAGCTCAATGTCAGATTGGTGACAGCAATTCCGAGCTTGACTCTTGCTGAGCTTAAAGAGAGCTGAGGGTTTAAATGTGTCTTGCCAATCTGGTTCTCAGCATCGTGGATTCAAGCCTGGCTGCTTTCCCATCAGAAGGAAGATCTGGATAACAAAGTGCAGTTCCCATTTCCTCGCTCAGTCTCAAGCTGTTGAAGGAGAGGACAGGACTGTCAGTCCTTCCTGACCAGTGCTGTGTGTGTGGAATTCCGAGGATGTGCCGTGGGAGTGACGCGTTTATAATTTGATCACTCAGTTAATGAACTTCACAGCTGACAAATACAGAGAGGAGTGGAGATTCTGGAATACACCATGTTTGTGTCTCCCATCTCCAGGCCAACAAGTCTGGGACAGCAGAAGGAACCAGCAGAGAGAGCTGGGACAGTTTCAGCCTCTGTCTGCCATCTTTTCCTTCTGTTTGTGTTGAGTCAAAGTGAAATGTTTTGCACAGAGGAAGAAAACTTCCTTGGGAATGGGAACAACAGGAGTTTAGGAAGTGTTTAAAAAAAAAGGGTAATGGACTGGATGGCATTCCCCACCTCCTGGGAGCACTGGGGACAGATGGTTCCCAGTTTGAGATTCGTACTGGTAATTTTTCATGCTACTGAGCTTGGAGTCCATTTCTCCCAAATATCTCTCTCATGTTTCTTGAAAATTCTTGAATTATTTAAACCTACAGAGGATTTTAAACGCTACCTCAAGCATTTCTGCTTTTAGGCAAACTTATGTGCTTTATCCTAGGCAGAAAAAAAGAAAAAAACCAATTTTTTTTTTTTTTAAAATCTGCTTTTTATGTCTGGGTATAAATGCAGCTGGGCATTCAATTATGGGCACTCTGTTAAGAGAAGCCTTGAAAATGCAAACCTCCAGTGCATTAATGCATAAAACTCATTTTACTTGTGTAACGTGAGCTGCTCGTGAAGGACGACCTCTAATCCCCGATCTTTCCTTTAACACAGTACCTGAAATTAAAGAATTTTGAGGAGGAAGTCCGAGCCCAGCGAGACCTGGATGGGTTCCTGGCCAGAGCCAGCATCATCCTGGACGAAACAGCCACGTCCTTGGACGACGTTCTGCGGGAGATGCTGCGACACTTCGCGGAGGATCCCGAGAACACGGAGCCGAGCTGCAACTTCGAAAAAATCATGAGCACTTTATTCACAGATTCAGGGACCCCACGGGAAGGGAACGGTAATGAGCCCTTGATTTCCTTCTGCTGCTGCTGGGCTGCTGGTGGTTTGCCATCCTCTCCACTCTGGTGGTGTGTTGGAACCCCTCCCTGCGTGGCCCCCCCACCCCCAGCCTTGCACGTTGCATGCGGCACCGTGGGTTGATTTTTTTTTTTTCCTCCACGTCACTCAGACTGAAGGGTCTCGCATCTCCAGGGTGTTTGTGTTTTGGTGGAGTCCTGCCCCCTGTCTCGCTAAGATGACACGTTGTGGTGTTCTCTGGGGTGAGAAGTCCACAGCACCAGAGTGTCTTGTCAGTGGGGACCCTTTGGGTGTGCTCGTCCTCAGCCAAGAGACACTTGCTGGCGTCTCTTCAGAAACGGCTCCTTTGCCTTGTGATTCTCCACCTGAATTCACACAGGCTGGGGAATTTTGCCTGCTCTGGACGAGCCTCTGGGGAGGGTTGAGCCCTTTGTGTTGCTCCCAGCCCACTGGAGGAGACAAAAGCCTTTTGTTTTCCTCCAGAAACTCACCCGGGGCGTCCCTGGCCAACGTTGTTGGCTCCTGTGTCACCTTTAAACTGTCAGCAAATGTCGTAGTGTAGCTCTAAAACATAGCTGCTTAAAATTAGCCCAAGATGTGAAGAAGAAGCTTAACTGAGCATTGTTTCTCTGTAGGCACCCATGATGTTTCAGAGTCAACAGGAATGAATAAACAAACATGTACATCGCACCTCAAATGTAACTGTCACAGCCTGAGTGAATTTGTTTAACAGATATGTCGAGTCCTGAGCATGTAGTAAGCATGTTCATGCTTTGGTTACCTCTTGCTACCTCTGTCCTAGAGCTTCGCGTTTTAGAATCTTTTAATTTAGGCTTTCTGCCTAAATAAATAAAGGAAAATGTAAGTAGTGCCGTGGAAATAGTGTGAGAGCAGTAGTTGGGAAGAGGGGGAGAAGAGGGCAGGGGGATTGGGAAGGCCGTGCCCCTTCCAGTCCTGTATGTGTGTGTTTGGATAATGTTAATCTTAATAACCTAATAGTGCGGTAGGGTGATGTTGGGAGGAGAAAGCAGCTTCCTTTCCGAGCTGTCAATAGTTCAGGGACAGAATTCAAAAGCAGCAGGACAAAAAGTTTCCCTCCTTTTTCTGTCAGCCCCCACCCCGCCCCACCCCCACCCCTGCCTAAATCCACTGTGCAGATAGGAATGCTTGGGATTAGTCCTTCCATTTGGAAAAGAGATGTTATTTACAGTTGCAAAGCGAGTCTGGACAGCCTGTGACACTTCCCTCTCTTTCTTTTCCCAGTTCACCTCTTGTCAGATACAATCCAAGGGGTCACAGCGACGGTCACGGGGGTGCAGTATCAGCAGTCCTGGCTCTGTATCATGTAAGTACCTGGGCTGGGTGAGCAAAATCCACTGGCTGCCCAAAAATTGCATGTTTATGTGCTTTTGGGAAGAACAAGAGGTTCAGAATGTGCCTTTTTTTGTGTTAAGTTGGTGATGTCTTTTCCATCCGTCCAGGGGTTGAATGGTAGCACACGTCTTGCAGTGCCTTTGTGCTTGGGGAGGGGGGAAAGTAGTAATAATAGAGTTAATATTAAGTGAGATGTGAATCAGAAAAAACCATCAAGGTGTTTAAATTATCCTAGAGAAAGCAATTCAGTTCACATTGGGATCCCAGTCTCAACATTAGGCTGCTCCTCTTTGCAAATCAACCTTGGGCCAGAGGTGACCACAGTCTCTCCAGGGCGCTAAGCCCTTGGGTGCTATAGAAATCTGGTGTTAACAGGCTAAGAATGCTGAAAAAAAAATGAGCCAGAAAACGCTCATTACTGAGAAATACTAATAAAGGAGCTTCTCAAAGGGGCAGACAAACCGCTTCATGGAATGCTTTGCCTGCCAAAGCCTGGGAGCTCGAACCCAAAGATTTCTGAGGTCCCTCGATGGAAACGTCGAAACTTTGTGACTGAAAATTGAAGTCAGACATTCCACGCTCTTAAGACACCGATTGCTTTGTCTGACAGTTCATTCAGAGGCTGATTAATTGTCAGCGCTGCTAAAGATTGGAGCAGGCCCTTAGGACAGTGAGGGATCCCTGTCACCTGGGATTTATGAGGCTTCTCCCCAGCGTCTTCCACTTGACCAAAGCTGGGTTTTTTGAAGTCACTGTCTCAAAGTCAGGCATGTGGGGTGAGCCACACTGGCCCTCCACGGAGGACAGGCCAGGGCCTGACTCCCTGAGCCAACCCAGGCAGTGCCATTTTCACTCTGTCTCCCTTTATGCTTATGCAGAGCCCAAGTCAAGTTGTCAAGAAATATGTTAATTCCCAGAGAAATTACTTGGATGTGTTGGAGAGGTGCCTGAAGGCAGGCACATGTTTGAGCCTTCACAGCCAGTTTGCTGGGACAACTGTCACAATGGCTTTCCTTCCACTGGCAGTTCTTCCCCTGCCCTTTGCTTATGGCTGGGGAAAAAATGGGGAGGATTTTGCCTTGGAAATAGATGATTATATATATTAAAAAAAAAAGCAAACAAAGAGAAAAAACCCAACAAACAAAATAACACTGACAAATAAGAAAAAAAAAAAAACACAACCAAGCACGTCAGCCTTGTTTTTAATCTCTTGTGAAAGGGAAAGATGTGATCTCAATGTAAAAAAGAAACAGTTTGGTGTCAGGGCTGTGTCCTGTGCAATAAGTGAGGAACTGGATGATGTCTGTGCTCCATGGGCTCTGCTTTCACACCAGGCACGCACAGAGAAAATGAGCTTATCCAGTAAAATGCCCTCAGCCAGGATCGGACTTCTGAGCAGTGTTCTCCACTTTGGATGCCAGAGGGAGCGGAGCAGCAATGGGGATATGGACACCCTGCTGATGCAGAGGGTGGAATTTTCTGCTGTGGGATGTGACACAGCTCTGGATGGAGGGGTTTGGAGGGTGTTGACTTAATGACAGAGCGTTCTAGAGGTCTCGCTACAAAGGCTGTGGTTGCATTACATGAGACTGGAAAGGGTGGGTTCAGCCTCTGGTGGAAAGGGAGCCAAGGCTTTAAATGCATCCATGTGAGTAATCCTGGCTCCCAAGGCAGGAGATGATTTGAAAAATAAGCTCACAGCCCCAAGGTGTCTTGTGCAAAACTTTCCTTGTTTCTTCCTTTTGTTGCTCTGAAGAGGGAGAAGAAAGTGGTGGGAAAGCAGTGATGAGTTATTAACTGTAATTATCTAATTGTTGCACTGTATTTCTGCTGGAGCAATTGTGCAACAGATTGTGAACCATATTTTTAGATCTTACATTTTTCTTGAAGTCAGATTGCAAAACAACTTCCAAACCTCTGAAGTAAAAGGAATTTGTTGATTGAAAAAAAAAAAAAAATATGTATCTCCATCTGAGTGGGAAGGACCTTTAAGATATCTGCTGTTCTTTATTCCTTGCATTTAGTCTGTAGCCTTTGCTAAATTTTAAATCAGCACTGCTGGGTTTGTGCACCTTAAAGCAACATTTTATTCCTGGTGGGTGAGATAAATTGGGCATCTTCTGACTCCCAATTGGCTTTAGGGGTTGGTTTAGTCCAGAATGCCCCAAACCTGATCTTGCTGAAGCCATCCCAGGATACCTAAAACTTCTGGAAACCTTGAGCTCCTTCCATTGAAACGAGAGCTGGGAGGAGCAGAGCCCTGCATTGCCCCAGTGACCATCAGGGTTCAGCTCTTGGAGTAGTGAAGGTTGAAGAATCACCTCATATTTGTGTCTGTGGTGATTTTCTAACTAGGAGGCAAATATTTAGAGTTACAGATGAGCTTCCTCAGTCCAGGCAGTGCTCTCATACCTCAGAAACCATGGGCACAGCTCTTTTTTTTCCCCCTCCTGTTTGTAACATTTGCCAGAGCAGGAAGGCACAGACTGGGATGGAGATCTCTTGCTGCTTCTCCATGAAGCTGCTGGTGGTTGTTTCATTAGAGAACCTGGGATAAGGCCCTGTCCCAGAACAGGGGGTGCTGAACTGTTGTTTTCCTTGGTTGTTTAGCCATGGGGAAACTCAGCTGTCGGTGGAACCTCAGGGAGATACTTTTGATGGCCCTCCATGAAATGACTGAACCAGGTAGAGGCGCTGCCAAGGAAGGAGCTCAGAATTCCCCGTGGCCCACCCAGCAATCCCACGATCCAGAGCGTGGAGGGGGTAAACTTGGGTGCTTTGCATGTCTGCCTTGGGAAGGAGCTCCTGTGAGAGCCACTGATGTTGCTGTTCCACAGAAAGCCCAAGGAAATCCCTTATCCAATGGAGGGAATACGAATAAGTGACTCTTATCACAAACCAAGTCCTATCACACCCAATTCCTTCTTCCACTGCTGAAATATGGAGGCAGAAATGCTTAATTTTTTCGATGTTTTCCCTTGGAGTGAAGGATCCCTGATGTTAAAGTTAACTGGGTGCTGGTGGGTCCTCCAAGGGGAAATCCAGGAAGGCAGGTCATGGTGCAAACGCTCCCTGAGCTGAGTTGGAACTCTCAGGCATCACAGCTTCCAACCTGTATTCTCCTTGCCCAGGAGATGGATATAATTGCTTATTTTCAAAGCTGAATCCTTAGGAAAACATGCAAGCAAGCTGCTCTGGAGTCTGGATTGAGCAGCTGGAGCACCATTTCCCTTGGCTGGATGGATAAGGCACAGGGATTGGGGAAGGACTTATTTTCAGTGCATTGAACTGATTTGCTAAAGCTGTTTTAACAGGCAGAGAGGGGGGAAAAAACCTCTCTGCAAGCGGAGAGTGGTTTGTGTGCCCTGTGTTGCTCTAGAATTCCTTGCTCTGATGTTGTGGTGTCCTGGCAGTGACTCCTGTGGAGGAGCTGAACTTGGAAAAACCCAGGTGGCCTTCCAAAAACGGCTTTTGTGATATCATGTGGGATAACAAGCTGTTTGAGTCAGATTGGAGGGGTAAATTCCAGGTTTAACATATCACTGATGCTCCTGTGAAAGGTGTTACCTGTGTGATTCTCAGCAGAGGTAACGCAAAGCCTGGTTTTTGTGTTTTAAGGGTTTTCCCAGAGGTCTGTGTCTCTGCAGAAAAGTCATGCTGCTTCTGATTTAGCTGTGGAATGGATTTCCAGTAGAAATCCATAGGGGATAACTCACGTTATCCCCTCTTTTTAAAGGGCAAAACCGGGAAATTAAACAATTCAATTCTTTAAAATGAATATTTTCCTTTAGAGGACCGATTGCAAGCTTTGGAGTCTTGTAAACAAGAGCCTCTTCTCCAGAATTTACAAGCTTCATCTCTGAAGTGTTCCTGGGGGCTCAGAGAACTGCATAATTTGCTTTTAAGGGCCTCTCCACCCTCGTTGGGTTTTTCCCAGATTATTCCGGAGAGCTGAAGCTCTCGCAGGTGCTGCTGTGTGAAAAGAAAGTCTCAAATTCAAGCCCTGCACTAGGAATTTGGATCCTGAGGGAGAAAGATGGATTGTTTCCAGTGCCTGCAGGGCGTTCACGGGGAGATGTCTCTTATAGAATCGTTAAGGTTGGGAAGGATCCGTAAGATCATCCAGTCCAACCAGCACCGCCGTGGTCACCACTAAACCGTGTCCCCAGGTGCCACATCCATCACCTGCCAAGTGTTCTTTGAGTTGAGAGAACCAATTAATGTTCTTTTTTAGGGCTCCTCCACCCTGGTTGGGCAGGAGAGCTGAAGCTCTTGCAGGTGCTGTGTGATGGAAAGTAGTTCCCAACACGCACTGACCGGTGGGAAATACTTTCCCCCTGGAGGGATGAACTTCCAGAAGGGGGTGAATGTTCCTGGGAGCCCAGCAAAAAGTGGATTTTTCCCAGTCCAAAACCTCACCCAGTGTGTGGGTGAGCTGGCTGGGCACAGCTTCATCCCTCACTTCCAGAGTGTGGATTCCCAAGGCTCGTGCCTGGAGCTGCTCCGTGGAGGAAGATTTATTTGCAGGGGGGCGAGAACAAGGAGTGTCATTGTTGCTGTGTGTGGGGACAGGAAAAGCCTGGCTGGCTGATTACCTCTGCTGGGCACTTTTTCTTACTGCAAGGGATAATTTGTTCCTGAATTAACTTCCTTTCTTGCCCCGTTGAAAGAGGGTTTCTGTTTCTCTTGGGTCCTCCATAGCCCGACCCTTTGTATGATTTGGTTGAGAAATGTGTTATTACTCTGATAAAATCTTGGGCGTGGGGCAGAGCTGGGGCACGTGGGACTCGGTGGATTTGGGATTTTGGGGGGGGTGTTGCCAGTTCTCACCATCCCCAGAACCACGCTCAGCCGGATGCAGAGAGCAAAGCAGAATTTGGGGCTGTAATTTAAATGCCCTTTTTATGAACTCAATTATTGGAGGATCGAGATAAAAGTTGCTGAGAACTCAACCTGGCATCTCATTAAATCACAGCCCAGC